CTGATTTACCTAGGCTCTTTGCGGTTGCCAAAAATAAGTCTTCTTCACTTTCTTGGTTCGAACTTTCTGCAACCGCAGTCACGGGTGTTTTCCCGTCCTTCTTTTCCTTCCTCCTCTTTGGACAATCCCTTTTGAAATGACCCTCTTCATCGCAGTAGTAACACCGAAAGCTTTTACTACTCGATTTGAAGCGTTGGGACGCGCCGCCCCTCTCTTTAGACCGTCCTCGTTCCCGACCAGCTCCTTTTGCTACCAAAGCTTGACCGTCATTTGATACCCCGTTGCCACCCCGCCGAGTCTCGTTCATCAACAACGCAGCAACTACTTCATCAAATTTTAAGGTCTCTTTTCCAAACAAAAGCGTGGTCACGATGTTGTCAAAAGATGAAGGCAATGAAGCCAACAAAAGCAGCGCCTTGTCCTCCTCTTCAATCTTCACATCAATGGATTCCAACTCTATTGTAATCTTGTTGAATTCATCCAAGTGCCCATTAAAGTTAGCTTCCTCCGCCATTTGGAGACCAAATAATCGTTTCTTCAAGTATAGCCTACTTGTCAACGATTTCGACTTGTACCGGCTCTCCAGCTTGTCCCAAATATCCACCGGGTCCGTCAAACCGAGAACCTCCCGAAGAGTATTATTTGCAAGGCATAGGCATATTGTACTTGTTGTCATGTCCTTCAAATCCTCCCACTCTTCTTCCGACAATTTTTCCGGTTTGTCGTTCTTCCGGTGTTTGGCCCACTCAGCATCCATCATTTTTTCTGTCCTCTGAACCTTCACCTTCAGAGCTTTGATTGTCCCTTCCCGAGTAAGAACACTTTTTACTCGTTGTTGCCACAGAGTAAAATCGCCACGTCCATCGAAAGGTTCGACGGAAACATTCGAACTTTTTACCGATGCCATTTTTCAAGTTCTCGACTTTCTTCTCTTACCGCTTAGAAATCCCTCCGCCCCAAATGTAACTTGGCTCCGATACCAATTGTTGGGATTTTAAGCGCGTAAGACTATTAAAATATCAAGAACGTGAAAAATAAATAAACACAAGGAGAATATATGAGAGAAAAAAATTATATTTCCACTATTTCAAGACAATATACAAAAAACTCTCCCTGTTTACAAGTGCTAAATACCAGACACTTATAAACAGACTTTTCACACCCTACACCCGAATGTATTTTTCCGAGTAACTAAAACCAGTTACTCCTTACACTCACTCACACAATGTTGGTGATATCTTGTGTAGACCTCTCTCTTCACACTCTTTCCCTCTCCTTCTTAACCGTGTGTGTATTTACTAAGAAGACCATGCATGGCTTTTAAAGCCAAGAGAAATACTGCTGCAAATGACCACCAACACAAGAGTCCAAAAGACCAAAACAAATTTGATTCCCTTCCATCAAAAAAATCCACACGCAACTTAGGATATCATCACATGCATGTATCTTCCTTTGATTTCTTTCTTTTCTTTTTTTTTTTATTTCTTTTGATTATTTAATCAAATATCCCAACATATAGAAAATAAAGCCTATAGAAAATATGAATTATTTATAATCAATAAAGAAATATAATTAGTTAAAGAAATACCTTTATTCAATGGTTTTTTTTGTTGAAGCACTTCTTTTCTTCGCATTCTCGCCTCTTTTGCTAATATCAATCTTTCCTTATTTTGGTTTTGCATTGTAGCTATTGAAGCGGGCGAGTAGTAAGAAATTTACAACTGGATGAAAAATAACCACGAATGTCGTGTATTTATATATAAAGCTCCCATTACATGTCTAAAATAAGTAGTTTTGTTCATAATTGGTAAGAATGTTCTTAAATATGAATTCTATTAATAATAAGTGATACTATGCCATAAATATATAGATTTGATGTATTCTTTAATAAGGTAACTCGTGATATTAGAAGTAAAACATGAATATTCTCCACAAATATGGAAAGCAAGAAAGATTATGGAGTAATTTAATTCTGCATGAAAATCTTGAAAATATCATTAACGTGAAAATATTTTTAGTTTTTTAAACTATTTATTGAAAAAGTTTAGTATCTTTTTATATGTACATACATACATACGTATACTAAGAGACTTTGAAATCGATCTTTAAGTTTTTCCATTTTCCCTTTTTAGGGGATCAGAATTTGTGTATTTTATCTTAAAAATAAATTTCAAGCATATATTTTTTTATATAATTTTAATGGTTTTATATAATTTTAATGGTTTTCTGTAAGACTGTAACTACAAAGTATACATTCTAATTTCAAAAAGATTTTTAAAAATTAAACTTATAGTATTCCATATTAATGTAAACAAAATAGTATTATGATATGATTTATTTTTTTTTCTTTCAAAAAAGTTTCATGTATGATTTTTATATTATCTTCGCAGGAATGTTTAAGTATTAGAAAAAGAATATCAATGACAAAGCTGTTAAACTTTTAGGTGTGCATGAAAATCTTTCCCCGCTTTTTTTTTCATTGTAATATAAATAAGCCACATGTTATGTATTAAAAACTTCATTGTTTAACATGTACTCCCTCTGTCATAAAACGTTGTTTCCACTTCCCCTGGCCTTTTTCTCCGTCCTAAAACTACCTTCCCATTAGAAAAATAAGATGACAAATGACATTAATACCCTCATGTATTTGCACCAATTATTTTCTAACTTTATATCTTGAATGATTGAAAAAAAATCAAATTTTTTTAAGGGGGGTAAACTTTGAAGTCAAAGCCAAAAATAAAAAATGGGAAAAAGTCTGTTTGGGAAGAAAGAATTAGGATGGAGGGAGTATTATTTATTTTTCTACCTTTAAGTTACATGTATAAGCAATTAAATTAAAAATGTTATTTTTATTTTTAACAATATATTTTGCAATTTTTTATTCCTTGCAATTAGTGTGTACCATATATGAATATTTTAATAAAATAACAAATACCACGGAGTAATTTAGTTTGTTATTTAACAATAATTGCATCTATAGAATTAGTATTATACATTTAAAATTCTTACTCTGTGCACAAAATAATAACTAACTTATGACACATAGCCTGGAAGAAGTAATTAATCGCTATTCTTGTAGAAATTATTTAACACGCATTTGTTTTAGATAAAAAAATATCTTCTATATTGACTCCTTTTTAAAATACGTGTTAGTGGGAAACGAATATGTTTCGATAAAGCATTTTCTTAAACGAAAGGAAAAATGACATTGAAAAAATCATATCTAAATTAAAAATATTAATCATTATTATAGCATTAAAATTATTTAACACATTAAAAAATGGCTCTCTAAACACATTTATTTGGAATGTACAGGCAAGAACACATATTTTTCAAAAATGCTTGTTTAATAGATTTATGTTTCATAAAAATACAAAGTTTGTATTTTGATTTTTGTTCATGAAAAAAATATTTTTTTCATTGATTTGTCTCTTAAATACTATTTCCTCCGTCTTATTTTAAATTACATGTTTGTCTTTTTTTCCTATCCCAAAATAAATTGTCTGTTAGTTGTTTTGTAAAATTTTAAAAATAAAATAGCTAAACTACCCTTTAAATAACTCACTTTTTTTCACCTTATATTCTCATTCATCATCACCTCTATTAAAAAGTAATGTCACTTTCGAAAAATAAACGCTATTTTTTATTTTACTTAAATATGCCCAAAAGTCAAAATGAACAATTTAAATTGGGATGGAGGAAGTATGTTATTGTGAAACGAATAAATGAATAGGAAAAAAGCATCGTTTAGAAATTAAGAATAAATAACCTAGAAAACATATCTCTTAGAATATTTTGAATACTTCTAACTTTAATTTATTTGTTAGAATTATAAATTTATTACCTTTAAATTATGCCAAATTTTGTAAATAGTTATTAGATTATATCTCAAGACACAAAGTTTCATCAAATGAAAAAATATTTAAATTGAGTCATCATAAACAATTGAATTCTTTGATATTGTTTTAGAATGTTATAAGAATCAGACGCATTACACAATACTTAGTTCAAAATAAATTTAGACACAATAACATATGACAACACTTAGGAAAAGATCATTTATTGTAGGTGTAATAAAATTCATTGTTCAAAACCAACAACATTATTCATGCAAATATTAAAATAAAACTTAAAGTATATAGTAATGAAATCCAACAATTAACTTAGAATACTCAAATGAAGAAATAACAACAATGATTAATTTTTTTCAATCTTAACACTCCTCATCTTCTTGACGGAATCATCTCCATCTCCAACGTTATACACTTCCTCTTGCATTCTTTTCATGGGAGTAAGATTGATCACATCATCTCTAGGTTGTGTCAGATGACTATCTTGAGATTCAAAAAAGTCCACAATTAAATTCTGCAAGGAGAAAATCAAAGGGTTATACACTATAAATAGTTGGAAATTCAATGTATCACAATTGAAATTATAAAATAAAAGATGAGAAAAACTGATTTTAAGGTTGCACCTGAAATTTAATGAATAAAAAATATTTAAACATTAATCTTATTCTATGTCTTGGATTTCAATATATACCTTTACGCAAGACGTTGCATTGCCAACGGAAATGACTTCTGTGTTTGTCTTCCCATCAGTTGAATACCCGATAGTCTTATCTGTCTGGTATAAATAAAACATAAATACATTACCAAACATAAATATTCCATCATTCAAAAAGTGGTAGAGAATGAGCTTGAAGTTATTGTTTTAATTCCAAACCTGAGGAGAGAAAAACGAAGAGTGCATCTCCATAAATTTTGCAATGATCCGGTCATTAAAGCATATGTCAATCACATTGTAGGAAGGTTCAAAATCATTGATATTGGCAGTCTTGACTTCAACCTTGAAGATAAATGACTTTTCAAGTAGCATTTGTTTGAAAACATCTGGTTGTTCACATCCTACCGGCACGCCCAGCCATTCATTTTGTCAATAAGTGTCAAAGAAATTCACATCTCACATACCTCTTAAGGTCTTTATACAAACTGCATTAATGTAATAAGTTTTTTTTATACATACCTCACTTAATTTCAGCATCTTGGAGCAGGACTTGTGCAACAACAAACATCCAAGGCTCTCAAATATCACAAAAGTTGCACTATCTGATGCATCGTTCACTCTTGCCTTAATGCGATACCTGCATATATTCATTATATTAATATTTACCATTAGGTGTTATCATATGTTTTTATAATTTGTTAAAATTCAAATATCAAAAAGGATGTAGATAAGCACTGGAGATACTGTTTTTGGTTGTCTTACTCAAAACGTCTTAGTGTGATTAGTTTCTAAGGTGACATTGTTATACCAACACCAAACTAAAATCCAGCATTATAGTATTTTTTCTGCAAAATATAACTCAAAGAAGCTAGACACTGTAGGATTACATTATCATCAATTTCTCTCTCTGCTTATCTTCTTGTATGAAAAAATAAATAGTAATTGACCCATGTGTGAGAAAAAATAGTATCTGAACCAAATAACGTTGAGACTGACTCATTTAGTAATTGGAAAATTAAAATACTTTGTAACAATGCAATCCGTGTGAAAAGTCACGTCATAATATGCAGGATAAAAAGTAAAAATCATTTTTTTAATAGTCACGTACCGGAGAAACATCATCAATCAGACTATAAAAAAACAGAATAATAAGTTGCCTATCAGAGTATATATTTGTAAATAAGTAGTGTAAAAACTTGCATGCTCTTATAAAAAACATTTAAATCTCGAAATTCAAAACGTTATTATATGTTTGTTGATCATACACTATGATTAAAAAGTGTCATCAACCTTATTATATGTTTTTAGATCTTGTATTAAGGAATGACAGAAAACGACACAAAGTGTGATCAAAGGACTTCTATATCAAGAAGGCTTTTCAAATGGTTATGAAATTGGTAGGCAGGCTAAAAGCTGAAATCTTGGTAGAATTTTAAGAGTAATATTACCTTGGAATCACATTCACAACACATTTTTTACAGTCGCTGCAGTAGTAAAAGCCATTCCGTGGAATCACTTCCGATCCACACCTACACGTTGGTATGAACCAATCAACTCCACCATCCACACCTTTGATGGTACCGTAGACTGCATACTCTCCATCCTAGTGCCAAAATAGCTAAATTATTAAATACAATGCCTTGGAAATGTCTTCGAGAAGTGTGTATTAAAATGGTATAACTAACCTCGGTGCAATCCTTCAAAGACTCTATTGTTCTAGCAAGCGTTCTGTTTAAAAACTCCTCCTCAACGGAGTACACTGGTACAGCGCGATTCGATGCAGCTTTTGAATTATTTGCATGAATAGATTCCAGGTATTTTTTCTTGATGGTATCATCGTGACATACTTTTGACACTCTAAAAGAGTGTTCATGTTGGCCGCGGTTCATGACCCTTACCTCAACTTTGAAAATATACGTCTTCCCAAGCAAGAGGTCATCAAACTCTCTTGGATTTTCAAAACTTCCAGCCTGCAAGAAATTTATCCGTTACATTAGTTTACAAATAAGACAAACATTGTCTTCAAAATAAAGTAAATTGAAGTATTATACATTTGTTTTTAACTATCATAAAAATTATGAATGTTTTACATTTATTTCATAAATTTAAGCACCATTTTTATTAGGAATTACAGCAGCATTTTCTTTAAAAAATATAACCTTTTTTCATGTGGACAATCCGTGTGTACTTTATACATTATGATCAAAATTGTTAGATAATAATTTCATGTGTGTTATCAGTAAACTGCCTATAGTAAGAACATGCTACTTTCATACATAAAAGCAGCATTTTGTTAGTATGTGAAAAAAAATAAAACTAAAACTGTGTATGATCTAATAAAAATTAATAAACCAAGCATTTTGAAGCAAGAGTACATACCAAATCACTTTTTTCCATCAATTCTGCACAGGATATATTCAAAATATTGGACGCCTCACGGTCAAATAAAAAAAATGTGGTTGTTCCAGAATCATCTTTAACAGACAGCTTGATAAGATATTTGTAGCAGAGAATAGTTTAAAAAATTCAAAGAGTTTTTATGTAATCTCCTTCCATGCACATATTTAACAACTAAAAGAAAATCTTTGATTTAAAAAAAAAATTATACCTCGGGGTGACCTTGAAAACACGATTTGAGCAGTATGCACAGTAGTACATTGCACCATCAGGTTTAACAGCTCTGTTACACTTACATGCTAAATACCACCAATCGCTCTCATTGTTTACCGCGACAATAGTCCCGTACACCACATACGATCCATCCCTTTTAGAGAAATTCATATATTAGGTCTCATGTTATTTCTCAATTAATAGTGCATATGTTAAATTATTGAATCCAAAAAGCAAACCAAAAATTAAAAGTCTCAAAAGTATGGATTGAATGCTAAAAAATATCAAATATACCTCATTACACTCCTTCAGGTTAGCAATCACCCTTGTTTTGCTCGTATCGAGGAAGTCATTTTGGTCTGAACTCGTAATGTTATCACATGATAACCTAACAGGCTGAGGTTGAGAAGTATTGCCAAGAGTCCTGCATGATGGTAACGATTCTATTAGTTTGCATGCGTCTAATCTACTCTTACTTGTATCCAATTCAAAATCAGCCAGTAAAACAGATTAAATATGAGATGAACTGACCTCGTAACGACGTCTATTTCCGGATTCAACAGAAGACGTGTACCATACATTACATTTTGTAGAATATAATTTCCTAAAAGCATGCAAGTTGAATATAAGAATATAGTGGTGTAATATATAATGACATGTAAAGAAATAAAATCGATTAACAACATTTTAAAGGAAATAAAAGAACACAATAGTATTCAAGATATTAATACATTGAAACATCTTGACCTTGGCATACTGAATGACAATCACCGCATGTTCCAACGGCGCGTGTCGAAAGAAGCTTTTAAGCACGTCAACATACTCACCAAATAAAGTAACATCCAACCTTTGTCTGGTATACCAAAGTTCAAAAGTTAGCATTAGATGTTAGTTCATTTAAAAACAACCACTTTTTACGAATCTAAAAATAACAACATTGTACCCTTCGGCCTCCAACGTAATCACAATCATCTTTGTTCTTTTTGACTCCCTCACTATCTCCCTTTCCTTCCCAACAGCCGAAAGAATTCCCATAGTGTCTGCAATGTAATGATGATATTGAGAAGAACGAAGAGAAACATATTCCATCTAATCCACCTCTTTAACGGGTATGTAATTGAAATTAAAAAAAACTTTTAAGGCTCAAGTAAGAATCATTACCAACTAAATACGGATAGTTTGAATCTGCGTGCAATATATCACGGAATGCAACCAACTTAATTCCATAAACTGGTATGTTGTCACAACTGGTTTCCGTGACGGTGGTCCTTGCTTGAAAATTTAGGCAAAACTCATGTCTTGTAGTGCGACAATATCCACTGCTATTGCCAACGCCAAAATAAGCAAAGACATACACCGAGCCTTCCTTTATTTTATTCTCAAAAGCTCCGACCAAACTTTTTCTTACAGTGGCATGGATAGTAGTTTCCTGCAAAATGTCAAGGAAACTTTAATACTCATAGGGACATGAGAGACTGCAATACTTAGGGACTAAAGAAACTTCAACAGGTATCAACACTATCTGGCATATTCAAATGTGATTTGAAACTGCAAAAACAAATCTGTAGAGACTTTGAAAAGTTTTTAGGCAATATAAAAAGTTGTTTTGTCTGTTTTTTTTAAGCACTTGAGAAGCTTCAACATGAATAGGCACTATAATAACCAAGAATATAAACTCAACAGACTTTTTTAAAAATATAAAAAGTTGTTTTGTCTGATTTTTTTAAGCACTGGAGAACCGTCCAATACACAGGGATTGGAGAAATTTCATCAGACTTTAAGAATCTAAACTAAACGCCATAAAAAAATATAAGAGAATATAAATCTGAAAATATGCAGCAGAATATGTGGGGGGGACAGAATATGCACTGACTATGGACAGCATACTCTATAGGGTCTGTTTAACCAATATGTTGGGTCTGTTTAACCAAACATGTACTATTCTGTTTAACCAATGTTTAACCATAACTATCAAGTCTGTTTAACCAATGTTTAACCAAAAATTTTGGGTCTGTTTTACAAATACTTTAACCTAATTCCGAATTCTCAGGTTTTCAAGGGGAGAAAACAATTTGTTTGATTTAACGATCTCACTGAACATTTCACTTTCAGTCTATCTGCAGTGATCATCATTCACTTTATCAATACCGTCAACAAAAGTGTGATTTTCTTTTTTTAAACAAATTGATGGCAAAGAAACATACATTATTTTATTTAGAAGAAACATTTAAGTAGAATGAAAACATAATCTTTTATAAATGGTAGATGAATTGGAACAAACCAATACTGCACTAAAATTATGAGTATCCTTCCCACAAAGCACAATTTAATTTTATAATAAAAAATGAAGTACAATATGCTATACTACTCATGCAATTTGGATAAAAATACTGTTTTTTTCCTTTGAAGAGCTGAAAATAGAGCCAAGTTAGGGCTTCTTTTGTCAACATGGACGCATTAATGTATGCCAAATTCGTATAATGGATGCAGCGATGTATGCAGTAATGTATGCCAAATTATTATAATGTAAGCAAAATTCGTATAAGAAGATGATTCTTACATGTTCGTCCATGAATATCATCTCAATCGAATTAGTGACTTTGTCATCATTGTAATCTGGCATCTTATACAATCGAACCACACGAACTAACACTCTCCAGCATTCACTTGTTGGATTGATTTTCAGCAAATGGTGAATGGGTTTGGTAGACATGTCAATTATGCAAAGATTTTAGGTATGAACAGCCCTTACAACCAAGTTTGATGAAATGGCTAACGTAGAACTGATTTATATATGAACTAAATCGTAATAAGGAAATCCGTGAATAAGTAGAATTGGGGAAAAAATTAAGGAAACTTACCGTTCTTGGGCAAGAGTCTAGCGCCGATGAAATTTCGCTCATCACAATTTCATCTTAGAAGGAAACTGCATCCGTTGCCAAGGAGAGTGTGAATTTCCAGATTTCGCATATCATCTGCGAAGGAAATTGCAGATTTCGCAGATTTCGCTCAACTCCAAATCCAATTAGCAGAAATCAGCATCAACTCCAATTGATTGAGAATTACGGTAATTTCGTTCATTTGATCGGGAATCTCCAGAATGCAAATTAGCAGAAATCGCGTATAATTGATCGCGAACCCTATTCTCTCGGTCGAAGGCGTGGGTTTTCCCCAAATCAGGCATCCGTTCATTTTCTGGAAATAGAGTTCGGGAATGTTGTTCTCCAAGATAAAATGAAATTGCAGTTTACACTAAATCTGACATGGCAGCTGACCTGTTAAATTTTTTGTCCACTCAGCATGACAAATGTCAGCATTCTGGAAGCTGAACTCTTAAATATAATATATAAAGGATAAAGGATATATATATATATATATATATATATATATATATATATATATATATATATATATATATATATAGGATAAAGGACTCCGTATATCTCATCTCATACAATAACATCAGAAATCATTCATCTCTAATCCATTCGATCCTGACCGCCAGGAAACTTGGAGAGGGAGAGAAGAGACAGAGAGAGAGAGAGAGAGAGATTAGGGAGGGAGAGAAGAGAGGGAGCGCGCACGTGCGAGAGAGAGAGAGAGAGAGATTCGAATAGCGTTTTCCGGTATTTCATTCCGCTGATGGGAAAAATTAGGGGAAGAATAGTGAAGAGGCGTAGGGTGCAATCCAGGACTGTATGTGCTCATCCAGGTGTCATGTGTGGTATGTGTATAGAGTGTGGTGAGATGATGGAAGACTGTGACTCAGGGGTTTCATTTGGTTACATTCACAAGGTATTTCATCCCCAATTTTATGATTAGATATAGGCCAATTTTGAAATAGAAGGAATGATTATTTTGATATTCACTTGTGTTGCAGGATTTGAGGCTGGCTATTGATGAGGTTGCTAGACTCCGCGAGAAAGACTTGAAGAACCTGATGCAGCGCAAGAAACTTTGTTTGGTTCTTGATTTAGATCATACACTGCTGAATTCAACTAGGCTCTTTGACATCTCACCCAAAGAAGAGTACCTAAAACATTCCATTCCTGGTCTGCCCTCCATTTATATGCTTCTGTTATTCTAAATTCTTTACTGCCCATATTCACATGTTTTCAGTACCAGCTGGTATCCATATCTCCCCCATTACACTTGGAAATTAGCCATTTTAGAGTTGAGGAATTTGAAAATAGATTTAGGGATTTCATTGGAAGTGAGGGTGTGTAGAGGAATAGCCCCGAGAACATGTTTAATCAATAGGTGCCTTCCACTGGGTGTAAGGCACCTTCTTTACCAACCCTTTAATTTGTTGTCAAAAGCATCAAGTAGATCTTTGCAGTAGCTTTTTTCTGTCAATTCCCCTGAATATACTGACGCCTAGGTATTTAAAAGGGAGGCCACCTTTCATCATGCCCAGACTCTTCTTGTAGGTGTTGATCTTCACAGTAGGTGTCTTGGGAGGAGGGTAGAAGTCTCTTTTGTCTAGATTGATTTGTTGACCTCAAACAGAAGCATAATCCATTACCAGGAATGTGGAGAATTTAATGAGGTTAGGGGTACTACCTTTAAGAAACACAATAACATGTGTCATCAACAAAAGCTAGGTGAGAAATGGGGAGGTAATGTCTTCCAATAGCAAAACCTTTAAGCGTATTTTGGTCCACAAGGTAGTTGGTTCCCCTGGATCTCCGTGTTTAAGTCCGATGGTGGGCTGGAAACATTTTGTGCTCTCACCATTGACGATGAAAACTTTCCTGGCCCTTCATTACACATTTGACTAGCCATGGAGATTAAAAAAAAGTGAAATTGTGTGGTTGTAAGTGCCATAGAAGAGAGAAATAATGTGAGCCACATTAAACTTCTCCAAATTTGGAAATTTGGCATCCATTCCAGTGGAGGAATGAACCACACACACACACACACCCATTTTTTTTATTATGATTCCAATGACTATTGATTTCACTAATTACATGCCAACTTGATGTAAACAGATGCTTTGAAAGGCAGCTTATTTAGGCTGGACAGGATTCACATGATGACAAAGTTGAGGCCGTATGTGCACAAGTTTTTGAAAGAAGCCAGCGAGCTGTTCGAGATGTATATATACACCATGGGTGAACGGCCTTATGCGCTTGAAATGGCAAAATTGTTGGACCCAAAAGATGTGTACTTCCATTCAAAAGTGATTGCACAAGGAGATTCAACAGTGCGACATCAAAAGGTGATATATCTGGGCCCGACCCTATCATACCCTCCCCCATATCCCACACCCTCATGGAAACCAAAGGATTTAGGTTCAAACATTATGATCCATTTTAGTGAGAATTCAAAGTCCTTTAGCCCGAAAGGCCAAAATAACTTTCGTTTTGACCTAAGGGTTCCGCTGGCCAACCCCCACTCCGTCCAACCCAACCCTAAACATCCAAAAGTATTTCATTTCCTTTTGATATCCAAAATAAAGTCTCTTCTATCTATTTTAATCTCTGGTCACAATAGGAAACCAAAACAGCCCCATTCATCTTCCAACATCCACCCAACA